TTGAGGTTTGGGGTTTAGGAGTTGGGGCTAAAGGTTTAGGACTTCGGGCTTAAAGTTTCTCACAACGACAAAAGTACCAAGAATTGCGTTGATCTTAGGTTTCGGCTTTGGCCTTTAGGGGTCCTATGGGGCAAATAACGTTTGCGATGCGATTATGCAGGTCACAACTAAAGATTATGCAAGGTACGTTTTCAGAAGCTTCCATGTAGAAACGTCGGCTCCAGGAAAGCATACGGGGGCTTCCAAAAATCAGTGGTCCCTTGTTCGGGGGTACTTATTGAACATCGCAAATCTTACTTGAATAATTCTTTCAACTAGGCAGACAACCGACGGATCAACCCCAAACCCTCAACCCTAAACCCTAAAACCCTAAAAACCTAAAACCCTAAACAACCTGCAACAATCTCAGGATCGCACATGACGCCGGTATTCAGCATCAGGCCATCCTCTCGCAGCTTGCAGCTTCAGGAGGACCACTTGGGTTTAGAGTTTGGGGTTTAGGGTTTAGGGTGTAGTAGGACATGCCAGGCAAGTGATGTGGCAAGCGCCGCTTTATATAGGGGAAGTTCAAGTAAAAAAATGTGAATACACATGCATCATACTTGTTTTTGGGATCCTCTAATTCTGGAAGCTCCATTGCCTGCAAAACCCTGCAACAGTTAAGTGTGTACGACCATTTTCCTAAGATATCGCTATGTATATCGCGACATGATATCCACAAAGAATCCCCAATATCCTATGGTAGCTTCCATTATGTCTTCCATCATTCCTTAGTTCTACAGACAGACCCTCCACGCCCAACACTAAACCCTAAATCCTAAACCCTAAACCCCAAACCCTAAATCCTAAACCCTACACTCTAAAAAGCTAAACCCCAAACCCAAATCCTAAACCCTACACCCCAAAGAGCTGTAGGAGAAGCCGGCAGTCCTCGGATGCCACCAGTTGCGGTCTCATCTCCTTGAAGAGCCACTCAGACCAACCTTTCTGGCAGCAGAAGTGTAGGATTTAGGATTTAGGATTTAGGGTTTAGGGTTTAGGGTTTAGGGCTTAGGATTCAATGTTTGGGGTGTACGGTTTAGGGCTCCTTTTTAAAGGGCCCGGGGACTTGCCCCATCTATAACCTACTTACTAAGTGGTCTGGGCCCCTAAGCAAGCCCCTGACCTTCTGGGAATTACAGCACCGTAGTAATATAACAAGATAATGATAATAGTGGTAGTAACAATAGTACTGCAACGACGCGAGGCTCCCTCCGTAACAGGGACTTCATAAAACATACTTGAATTCCTCCTCTAGGTCATACTTGTCGCTGCATATTTCCGCTTGTCCAGAGAATGCTGGAAAAACTCAAATAGACAAGTAGACACTAGTAAGAGCATGGAGGCACATCAACATGGCCTAGGCAGAGAGCAACCTTCAGTAGCCAGTCGTACACCCAAGACTTGGAGCGGAATCGAATTTTTCTCTGAAAAGCCAACGTGTTTTATGAAAACATGATGTGTGAATTTCATGGGTCCCGTTGTTTGTGGTTTTGAATCAAGATCTGCTTGCATTCGTACATGAGAAACATCCCCGTTTTTCGTGAAAACTTTGAAGTGCCAACTTTACGCCCTTTGACGCAAAATCAGCTATAGTCCAAATGCTTAGTATCCCTCCTAGTAACCCCTATAAGACTCCCTTATATACTCCCTGATATAACTCCTTCAAGGAGGTTTTATTATGGCTAAATGTCCCGCTAGCTTGTCAAGACAAGTCGCCCAGGGTTCGGTTGGTGGGGACGGTCATTGGAGGCTCAAACCTGCAAGTCTTTGCATTACAGTATAATATAATAGAATATAGTGTCATAGATTGTATAGTACAATACGGTATAGTGCAATACATTATAGTATTCTATTATATAGGATGGTATAGTATAGTACATTATAGTACTCCGTTATATATATGTATACCATGTTATATGATATTATAATGGTCCAGTTCCGGACATAATGCACTGCCGCTGTACAGGGACAGCTGTGAAAGGAGGCATCCTACCATTGTCCTTATGAAGCCCGGTGCAACGGACACGCAACCGCCACACTAAGACGAAAAGCAGATAACGTACCATAGTAACTATACTATAATACACTGGAGAATACCAGAATATACTACAAAATACCATAATATACCATAATACACTATAATATACCAAAATATACCATAATATACCATAATATACCATAGTATACCATAGTATACCATAATATACTATACATAATTCCTAGTGACTAAAATCTGAAGCCCGGCAGATGCCGACAAGCATCGCATCACAGCCCGCACCCTTCGCCGTGTGGCTCTCCAGGAGATTGTCATACCAGTCCAGGAGACTCTCAGGCTCCTCTTGGAATCGGAGTAGCAATATCAGTAGTAATAGCAATAGTGGTAGTTATATAGAAATAGTAATAGTAATAGTATGCATTGGCACGAGCACTATTGAATGTTGCTTGATGACGGTCACTGCTTTAGTTGTCGCATCCCTTTTTTCTCATCAAGGCGGGCTATTGCGGTCATCCTCATTCGTATTGCAGTTTCATCCTTGCCCTTACTGTTATGACTGATATCACCCAGATGTACCAACGCACTCGAAACGCGTGTCTGAAAGCAATGGTCGAAGCTCGTTCGAGACATTCGCATGCGTCGAAATCGCCCCAGACCGGCTCACAGGCTCTGCCATGGCAAGAACGAGAGCCCGCACGGCATTTTCTGGCTCAAACTTCAATTCCTCCGAGTGCACCTCAACATTTCTCGGGCCCAGTTCCGGGCGAGACATTCCAAAGTAGAGCGGATCCTCTATCTAGAGGCAGAGTTTATCCTAGGCCCCCACACTAGACCCTAAACATCCATATCTGTGAGCCCTGAACCCGTATCCCCCCACCCCAGACCCTAAATCCCTCAGCTCCCAAACCTAGTCCCTGAGTGGCCAGTCCTTCTCCGGGCCTGCTTGCCACTTTGCAACCAGCTCTCGAAGTCCAGCCTTGACAGGGAGCCGCAACATGCACAAAGTGTTTGCGGGTATTCAAGATTTAGGATTTGGGATGCTGGGTTTGGTGAAGTTTCAGGGTTTGGTTATATTGGGATATATTGGAAGTTATAGCATATTATGGACAGGGATAATGGAAAGGAACATCGGGACCACTATTTTGGGCTTCAGGCTTGGAGGCTTTGGGATTCTTAGAGCTTTCACATGCGTCTTAAATCTTTCAAACTATTGGTGCGACATGCCGGCCAGGAATTCTTGCCGCAAAACCCTCATGCCATGCGTTTGGATGTAGAGTTTGTATTGATACGGTTTATGGATGAAATTCTCACCACCTAGAGGCCCTAAACTACTGAATTCCTTGGACTTTAGGGGCTTTTAGGTGGTGCGAGATGTCCTTCATCAACAGTAGCTTGGGGTAAAGAGCATTTCAACTGTTACAAACTTCCATGTTACGAACGTAGCGCTGGGGACCTCCAGTTTGCAGAAAGCGCCACATCTTACTTCGCCTGCTGTATTTGGGTTGTTCCTACGGTGGATACTAAAAATCCTGCATGACCCTAGGTACCTTATACCCTGGGAACTATGGTACAATAGTTGTATTAAGGTCATGCAGGATTTTTAGTATCAACAGTAGTGTCCTCTTCTAAGAAGCACGATTAGCTTTGTTCTTCTGAATGGTCTACATGTTTCCAGGTTGCCAGACTCCAGTAGCAGGCGGACCACGGGCTTAGCACATGTGCCGCCTCGACGATCACTTCTGCAGGTTGAAGCATCAGGGTCAAACCAAAGGGAACTAATCAGCACTTTTGCAGAAACCCCTTAACTCAACAACTTTGATTGCCAACTGCCAACGCCCAAACGGGACGGCTCTCTTCAAAATGACGGCAAAATGCAGTAAATCTCCCAGTGCTCACAGCACCCCTTTGCTCCCTACAAATGACCCACTTGAGTCTTCTGCATAATCCCCCATACAGCATGGCTGGCTTCGAACTCCCTTCCCTCCACCCTGCCGCGTCGTCGCCGGGCGCCGCAGGGCAGCGGCTCTCCGCCAGGGCGACGACCTCCTCCAGGCGCACCTGCCCAAGCGTAAAAGGAAACATTGGGTTCAGAGCTTGGGGTTGGGGTTTGAAGGCTGAGGAAGCTTTTCGGGCTTAGGGCTTCCAGGTTGGGCTCCCGAGTTCAGGGTGCTTCAGGTTCCAGGGTTGAAGCTTCAGGGATTGTCAGCTTACGGTTCGGAGGAATTGGGGTATGGGGATTAGTTCTGACCTAACTCATCCCAGATCCGTGCCTCTGGATCCATAAAGAAGGAGTCGCAGTCCAACCACATCACCTTCTTCGAGTTGCATCTACCAAGCCAACAGCAAACACCATGGTGCAGGTGCATGCCGGATATCATGCGCTACTACCCTTTACTTAGGGTTCCTGACGGATACCTCGGCCTAATTCAAGCTAATTGAATGGGGAACTTAGGGGGCGTTGTAACGGGTGGTACATGGCGGTAGGGAAACCTTGAAGATTGATTACTTTCAGGTTGAAGACTCTCAGGGAGGGAGATGGGTACCATTGTAAAGACAGTTGCAGTTTCCATTTCCTTTGCTACGTTGTCCCACATCATTGGCCCACATTACTATTAATATTATCACTTCATCTACTACAAAAACCAAAAAAAAAAACTAAACACTAAAACACGCCGGGTACCCACCAATATTTAGGCCGACCAAGTGATGACAGGTCACCCAGTCATGGCGTCCCTGCGCCAATGTCTCCAGCAGGGCATCCACCTACCACCATCAGGCCCGTATGCGCTTTAGGGTTTAGTGTTTAGGGTTTGGGCCGAAGCAATGGGCATCCACACCCTCATCACCAGCAAATCTCAAGAAGAAAACTTCCTACTTTCTCGTAGGAGACAAGCTCAGACTCCTGCATCTTAGCAACCAAAGGCTACTGTTGATGTGAAGAAGCCTGCATGACCTTACTATACTATTACTGGGGGCCTTCGACCATGCTGGCGGCCGGTGGGCCAGGGGCTCCGTCAGCAGCTCTGCCAGCGGGTCCGCAAACAGGGGCGCCTTCTCCTGAAAACATGATACGGCAAATAGAGGGATCTCAATACAGATCCCAATCTACAAGAATCCATACAACGGGGACCCCAAAAAAAAGTAATTTCGGGAAACCCCGATATTCTCCCAGATGCGAAGATCCTAGATGCTGTACTGTACTTATCTTATACTATAGTAGCTTCCAGCTTCCATCTTCTTTTCCAGTATCCCTATGATAACCCCTATATGGGTGGTTGTCAAAAAAATTGTGGTCCCTTTTCGGATCCCTATTATAATATGGCACCTAATATTTAGCGTACCCAAAAAGGGATCATAACTTTGACAACCACCCATGTATCCCCTATATATACCTATATCAAAAATGGCAACCCAGGCTGTGGCCCTGAAGCATGGCTTGCTGCCCCAGCTGCATACATCACCACATCGTATCCGTGCATCTTGGCATATGCATCTCCTTGGTGCCCACGGGCTTCAAATAGTGATGGAGAATCAAATGGAACAGAGAATGGAAAATGAAATGGAAACTGGGATTATACAGGGAATTATGGCCTAAACTCCTAGTATCTCCTTTTGTAACCCCTCTAATACTCCCCTATATAAGCGCCTATAAGAACCCTCTGATAGCTCAAAGGCATCCAACCACCCCTCACATGTCAAGAAAAAAGAGAAAATCGCTGAAAGCCAAGCATCTGTTGAGTTTTGATAATCTCGCAAGAGGCGTCTGCGTGGGATCATAATCGCAGACGGTCACCTGAACTTGGGTACGTTTTTGGGGATCCCTATAATGAGGATTATGTCAGATGTACTATTTGGCGGTCTATGCGGGGCCCCCATATTAAGGAAAACTACCAAATGTGCTAGCCCGCAAGAATTTCAGGAAGCGAAAGGGGCCGAAGCGAGTCTTCCGTTCTCAGAGTCGGCAACAAGTCCAGACTAGAATGGGATATGATCTATAATCTAAATTCCTAGTATCCCCCTTAGTAACCCCTATAATACGCCCCTATCATATCCCTTCTACAACCCCCTTTAAGGAGTTTAGACTATAGACTATAGTACATGCGAAGATCTTTGTGACGGCAGGAATTAAATACGGCACCTTCCAAGAAGGGTCTTATGCAGAGGATCCCAACCTGTCTGGCCGAACCAGAACAGTCCTGTTGTTTACACACCTGTCCTGGACTTCAAATTCTAAAGCCCTATAAATGACAACATGAACCCAGTCTCCATCTTATTGTCCACTGGTTTTCCCACTTGATTCTCCGCCACTGGTACTTATTTAAGTCCTTAAACCCTGAACTGCTTATTGCTCCCTACAGAGCTTCCATACAACCACACATTATCCCCATATTGCCCCCATGTTACCCCCCCAACTCTTCCGCGCCCGCGCGGCTATGGCCACGCGCTGCTTTGCTACACCTCGCGGTGTCGCTGCGCGGGCAGCGAGATTACGCCAGGGCTCTGCCTGCGAAAACAATCACCAAGCAGGGGATGAAATGCTTTGGGGCTTAGGGTCCATGATTAGTGCTTACGGTTTTGGGTTGCAGGTTCACGGTTTGGGGTTTGGGGATTGCCGATCGCAGCAAGGTTAAAAGAGTCTCTATGCGGGAGAAGTACGGATGCAATGGAGCTTGAAAGCAGTTGCATAAACGGCGCGTTTGTTCAGATACTGCAAAGATGCCATAGCGACTGCATGGCGATTGTAGAGAATCATGAGCTACACTCATGGGGGTGATACAGAGCAGCATAATGGTTATTAGGGGGGATGATAGGAGTTCAGACTATAACTTGCATAAGCAGCCCTGTGGGTTGACAGATGGGTTATTGTCCACAAGGACTACGAAAGCACTGATGAAGATGGCCTCGGAACCCAAAAAGAGAAACCCAGGCGCCTTTATATATAGGGATAATGCAAGAGAAAATGGAAACTACTATAATGGGGTCATATAGGGTTTAGGGTTTAGGAAGTTTAGGGTTGAGAACGAACTGTGTTGAAGGATATTGTCCAGCTATGCACAACAGGTTGGTCTTGGGTTCAAGCATACGCTTCCGCACCAAAGTCGCCAGGGCTTTGAAGAACCAAGGACTACTCAGGTCCCATAGGAGCCATAGTCTAAACTCCTAGTAGTACAATAGTCCCCTATATAATCCCCTATACAACCCTTTTTAAGGAATTTTAGATTCTGGGTCACAGGTGCCTAAAAGCTGATTCTTGCAACAATGTCAAGAACTGCCTGGCTCTAAACTCGGAGGCCCAGGAGTGTTCAGGTTTCTTGTATTTCTGTCGCCCATTGCCCTGCCTCCTTTTGAATTCTTACGCTTGGGAGGTTATCAACACCAGGACCTTCAACCTAGGCTTTGCCCATGGGAGTTGCCAGTCTGTAAACTGCAGTGCAGTACAACAGATTTCAGTCCTGTAGTTCCGCTAGACTCTGCTAGAAAGTTGTGTGATAACTCCTGATGCTGCGCTCAAACCGAAAAAAATCATTGAACCATATCATGTTACAGGACACACTTTTTCTGCAGGAATGGTTGTTGGCAGCATTCTGAGATTGAATATTTGTTCATTCCATCAGACTGATGAGGCTTATCACCTTTGTCAGATTTCCAGTAAGGACTTCTTTAACAACATCTATTCACAAGCATTTGGATCCCCATTCCACGGACTCCCAAAGCACCAAGCAGTCAAGCCCGGGCGACCTGCACCTCGTGCTGCTTGAGAAAGGCCATGGAACCTGAAGTTTGAAAGGGGATGGCTTTAGGGTTTAGGGGAACTACTATAGTATACTGGGGATCGTACTGGTGTATGATATAGTGACGTTATAGGAGTTTGACACAGCCCCCCAAAGAATGGAGAATGCAATGAGAGAGCAAATGGAAAATGAAATGGAATCCCTAGGTCCCTGTAAAGGGTCATATAAGGATATTAATTACCCCCAATGATGGAGAATCAAATGGAAAAGTAAATGGAATGGAAACTACTGCTTAGGATTCAGGATTTGGGGATTAGGATGTGTTGGCTTTTTTTGGCCTAGGTGCTGAGGGCAGGAATTTTGTGTGGGGGAAGTTTATTCGATGAACGGAAGAATGGCCGATCCGAGCAGATTATTGAGAATCCATGTTGGTTCACAAGGTGCCTAGTGCCGCCAACTCTGATATTACCGCGGTGTCAGGGACAACACGTGATACTTCGGCCTTCTCCTACAAAGGCGTAGCTGCTGATTCGACTGCTCTTGCCGTAGCTGCTGCGACTACAGTCATTGCAATCTCATGCAACCATGCAACGCAAGATGCCCTCCATGTTCTGCTTCCAGTTGATTGGCCACGGGCTGTCATTGATGTAGTCCTCTTGTCGAGGCGACAATGCTCGCGGCATGGACACATCAAGCTTGCGGAGTTAACACTAGCATCAAAATAAGCTTGCGCACTTCCCACAGTAACGCCGGTGTCAGGGAAAAGACCACCTACCATGTGCAAGGCATGGCCCATACCGATGAAGAGAAGGCATAAACATTCATGACAAAGCTGTGCTTGTATTCGACATGAGAGCGCAGCTCCTCGCCCTTCATCTGGTAATCGTAAGAGCCAAAGATGGCAGAGAGCTGTCGGAACCTTGCGCTCATGGATGAGCGGGGACTCTCTTGGTCAGCATTTCAGGCACTCAACTACAGCTTGCTGCCTCCTACTCTAACCCTAACGTAAACACTAACCCCTAAGCCCCTAAACCCTACACCCCTAAACCCTAAACCCTAAACCCTAAATCCTAAACCTTAAACCTTAGGCCCCAAGTTAGACTGCGTGCAGTTCGCCTCGCCGCGAGGACTGGACGATGAAGTTGATCACCTCAGCGGCCCAGGGTCCAGGGAGTGAATCTATAAATGGTATACTGTAGGGTTTTCATAAGGACATAGGGACTATATGGGGATTATTTTGGGGTTTAGGTTAGGGATATATAGGGATGATATAGGAAAAAATGTGGCTTATAAAGGGACATAGGGCCCAACAATGGAGAATCAAATGGAAAAGAAGCCTCCAAGTGCGAGTGCAGGTACCGCGTTATGTTCCCAATCTCTAGGAACACCCAAAAAGGCGCCTGGGCTTTTGGAAGCTGGGTTCTTATTAATGTCTGTAAATAGCTGGTTCTGTTTTGAACCGACTGTTCGTGGGTGCGGGAGCAGTACCCACTTCGTGTTGCAATGAAATCTGCAGCTCGCTCAAACCTTAATTCTTAAATCACAGACAACATGCCCTACTCCTAACTAATTGAGGTCCGGCAACCCAACTCCTCACACACCCCAACCTACAGCTCAAGCCGGCAACAGAAAGAAAAGTTCTCCTGCTGCAGCAACAGAAGGCCATTTTGTAACTTCAGTGCTTAGAGATGGTTTGCTACCAGCACATGAGCTGTAGTCCAAACTCCTAGTACCCCCTGATTACCCCCTATAACTCTCCCCTACATAAACCCTTTTAAGGGGGTTGGGCTCTAGCTCATGTATAATGCTGGATTCAAAACCTCACCAGAGCCAACATGCAGCCCCCATAGCCTCCTTTCCCTTTGAGCTCGGGGGGTGTAGCCTATAAGCCCTAAGCCCAAAACCTAAACCAAAACCCCCAACCCAACGGGGATAACCCTACACCCTCCATCCCGAAACTCTAAACCCTAAAGAGGCGAATGCCTTCCCAACACCCATATATTCCCTATATGGAGCCAGTTGGGTGTTCATTCTCCATTTTCTTGTTCATTCTCCAGTACTCGAATTATTGGGGGCCCCATGCAGTCCTTAACCTTTAGCGCTAAACCCCAAACCCTAGGCCTTAATCCCTAAAGCCTAATCAATCCCTAAACCCCAAAACAAGAACCCTAATCCCTAAGCCCTAAACCCTCAACGCCCCCTCCCAATAGGCATGTGGCAGCTCTGCGCCGCCAGCGCGAGAGCTGAGGCCACAGCTGTTGCACAGCTGAAGGCGGCCTCTCCCACGTTGCTTCGAGGGTTAAAGTAGGTTAGGGTTTAGGGTTTAGGGTATAGGGTTTAGGGGACTTGGTAACTGGGTCCATAGTCGAGATAGCTGGGGTTATTACATGGCATTATATGGATTATGGGGTTGTGAAGGTGGTCTTTTCCAGGCTAGGAGTTTAGGGTTTGGGGTTCAGGGGTTACCAAGGGGGTCAGGGGGACTTGGTAGGTGGCTCGATGGAAAAGAAAATGGAAGCTACTTTACGATTCAAGGTTTGAGGACTTGGCAAGTGGTTAATAATCGAGATGACTGGGGCTATTGTGGAGGTTATAGGGGTTACTAATCTACTTACTAAGCCCCCCTGACCCTCCAAGTAAGGGTTTCTTTGAACGGTGTTACAATGCGGCTACAAAGGGACATATGGGAATACCTAAGCATGCATAGGGATATGTAGGCGTATGTTGGGATGTACAGGATGTAGGATTTATTCTTGAAGACGTAGCATTCAAGGTATAAGCGGGTCTTGGGGAATCCTAGGGAACTCCCAGGATATGCAGGGATTTGGAAGACTCTCCTAGGAATTATACTCACCATGATAAAGATCGTGCTTGCAAGGGTCCTGATAGTTCTAATCAAAAGAACAAAGGGGGAAATTATCAGCAGAGTAGTTAACTAATGATACTACAATACCGCCACCACCACCACCACCCCCGCCGCCGCCGCCGCCGCCGCCACCACCACCACCACCACCGCCCCACCACACCCCACCACCACCTCACCATCACCCCACCACCCTGCCACAACCCCACCAGCCCACCACCACTCCACCAACCCACCAACCCACCACCACCCCACCACCAACGCCACCACCACTGCCGCCGCTACTGCGAAAGCGGCCTCTGCTGCCACTTCTAGTCCTCTGCCTGCTACTGCTGCTGCCATCAAGACCGCGGCTGCCAGTACTCCATGTTATCCACAAGATATGAAAACGGCTATATAGGGGTTATATGGGGATTATAGAGTATGTATTGGAAGAATGGAAAATCAAATGGAAACTACTATGGGGTTATAGGGGTTATAATCCCAATGTTGTCGTTGAGCTCAAACTTGGAGATGCTATATGGGGTCACTTTTTGGATCCCTATTAAAATACGGCACCTAATATTTAGGGTACCCAAAAAGGGACCATAATTTTGACAACCACCCATATAACTTGGTGTTGCTTCTTGGCTCCAGCCTCAGTGCTCTGCGCCACAGGCACCAGGAGCCTTGACAGAGCAAACCCTCGCTAGGGGGGTGAAGATTATCAGGGTCGGAGAGGGCTTTGGGGGCTTGACTTGTGGCTTTTAATGTTACGGGTTTGAAGCTGTTTATGGCTCATGGAGCAAGATCCCAACAGCTTTGCGGGCCAGATTGCTTAAGTCTGCAACGCCACCTACACGCAAAACTAACCGCACATGGATGCTGCAGTGATATCATGAAAAGGTGATGATCCCAACGATCCAGGTCCATGGCAAGTCAAGGCCGCAAAAACTGCGTCACCCCTCTGCCGACAGGCAGCTCCGCTAGTTTGAGAAGTGCCGGCTCGAACTCGCGGTTGTTGAAGTCCTTCACAACCTTCCATTATGAAAGAGTTGGAAACTCCACTTAAATCCCAAAACAAGCCAGCAACGACTTCTAAGAATTCAATGGTAGTGCGACTAAAGCGGAGGCGGCGACGACGACCACGACTACCACGACATACCACCACGACCGACACGACCACCACGACAATGATGACAACGATGAGCACCTCTACTAGCACAATGACCCTCAACAAGTCTCCCCTGCCTCTGCCAGTCCGCCGTGGAAAGCGACCCAACGACTGGGCAAGGCTTCCAGGAAACTTGATGAGCATGGATCATTCGGGGCAGTAACAAGGCAAAGGCGAAGAAAAAGTAATGAGTGGCCTTTAAACGGTCCTGGGTAAGTAGTTTCTGTGCCTTGTGCAGAGACATGAGTAAAGCTGTCTATATATATATGTGTATATATATATATATCTCTCTCTCTCTCTCTCTCGCTCTCTCTCTCTCTCTTTCTGTCTTTCATGCGGGCTACGAGGGCAGAAGGATGCTAATGCTCTGTCTCGCGCCAAATTGAGCCCCGAACTTGAGAGCAAACGCGCATGCGGTCAGTCTTGTACTCTTGAAAACATCCAGCTCAAGGCTCTTAAAACTTGAGATTCCAAGAGCACCAACTTAGGATGCTGCTTGCGGACCTGAAAGTAACCCAAGGCTTCTTCAAGAAACCCACATTGATATAAGCTATACTAGAATATACTATAATTTCTATATATATATTATTCCATAATATACTATATTATACTATAACATACTAGAATATACGATAATATGTAACAGTATTTTGAGGCTTCTGTAAGGCCATTGCACCCATAGCTGCCAAAAGAAGTCCAAGCCACTCCTGGCCGCAGAAATCCAAGCCAATCCACTGCCTGAATGGGGTTTAGGAGTTTAGGGTTTAGGGTTTGTGGCTGAGCATGTTTATGACTTTTAGGGGTTAAGTACTTTGGGCTCTACCATTGATGGGTGAAACCTTTGCACCACCTGTCTATCCCAGACTGCTGCAATTGCTGGCATTGGGGATGCTTGGCTGCGGGTGACGCATCAAAAAACATGCTAAGCAGCTAACAAAAATGACACCAACAAGAAAAAAATGAATGTTTGCGCCTGGCACTAAAAATATAATTTGATAAGCATCAAAATAACATGAGAGCC